GTGGGACAAACACTGTCCTGCCACAGGAGGATTTGGCTCTGAAGCATAACGTGCCCATGAAGCAGTCTTAAATTCTGCATTCATCTACCCCGTCATAAGGGGACCTGTTCACATGTGTTGCTGTTATTCTGTATTGTACCAATGAACCTGCTGAAAGGATGCCGTAAAATTCCCTGTGCAGTGACTGTGGAGCCTTTTTTGCTTGTGTGAGACACCTTCCGTTGTCTTGAGATACTAATTTGAGTTTTGGAGGTGTCGCACAGGTAAGATTTCCCCACCCTCAGCAATTGCTAGCCAAGGATTCTTTTGAAGTACGTTACAAAGCCTAATTATGAAAAAAATGTTAACAGTTTTTCTAACTGGTATGTGACAAGAAGCATTTCAAGTTAGCCTTATTTGTTTCAAGAGTAAATAAGCATTTTCCAGAATATGTAACTTATATGGAACTAAATTAGATTTCAGGTATTTTCGAAACTATCTGGGAGCTGCTTAGCCTGTGTTCACTCAATCTATAGAAGTACATACGTGCTGTAACTGAACAAACAGTAAGAGTCTGGCAGTACTGGCATGTTACCGAAATTCTCCATTAATTTAAGAACAGGGTTGCGACTAGCACAGTCGGATACAGCAAACAAACTCTTCCCCCTTAGGTACCTTTCTCTTAACCTGGTTTTGAATAGCTGTTGATGTGACGGCTCACTCTAGATAAATCCATATTCATTAGTATGGAAATTTCATACTGAATTGGGTCGAGAAGCCTCCTGAATGTAGGAGTAATTCTTTCAGTGGGAAGATTACTTGATTAAAAAGACTTTTGAGTATTCGCTTTCTATTTGATACTGTCCAAACCAGAAATGTAGTTTTTAGTTGCTCATTTTTCTGGTGTAGAAATGTATTTTTGTTGCTCAAAAAACCTAACTAGACTGTTGCAGCTATGCAGGCTATGAACTTAGTAACAAGCATGTTGCAGCTTTTGCAGTGTTGTACTTGCGTGTGTGCATGGCCAAGCCATTAAAGCCAGCAGGCAAACATAGAGTTGCTGTGTAAGAATATTTTGTTATTTACTAGAAGGTAGTAATCCAGAACCAGCTTTCTAAGCAAATTTCTTCTCAGGAGATCATTCAAACTAACCTTTTGCTTTCTTTTTTCTTAATGCTGCCACTTAGTATACGCTCCATACAGCATTCAATTAGCATGCCTATTATGAGGTAATGTATGTTAATTAATGTTGAGTATGTTTACTTTCATGTGTGGAATAAAGTCAAATTTAATAAAGTAATAAATATCACCTTTTTTTTTTTATTTGCAATGAATTACCAGTACTAAAAAATCTGGGGGAAAAAATTTAATTCTGCTTAATATTAGTGGTTGTTGCACATCTGGATTGCAACTAAATGTGCTTTTTTTTTTTCTGAGCTAAGAATTGAAACATTTTTTTCCCAGTTTTTCCTTGCCCATTAGAAATGTAGTGTCCTGCAAGTTTTGGAAGACAGTAGCTTAGGAATTATTTTAGAACGGCCTGTAAAAGTGAGTAGGAAACACTGTGGTTTAACAAAAATTCTCTTGCTTGCCACCTCTCTGCTCTTGCTTGGCTCTGCGAGCCTCGAGTCTGGTCTGATGTTCTTGCTGATTACTGAGACCTTTCCTAAATGAGAGCTGCTAAATGTGGAGGATCTACACGAATGCCAAGCAAGGGAGAGGAGGGAAGCTTAAAACCACTTTCAGAAAAGCCTCCTCTCTTTCGTATCGCACAGTTCTGCTTTGCGGGGTCTGCTATGAATCCTTCGTTCCTGGCCCACCGAAGGAGCATTCCCTGTCCCCGCAGAGCTGAAGGTGCACAGGCTATTGCACGGGTTTGCAGGTGGCACTGATAGTTAATAGGAGACACTGCAGCTCTCCAGAGCCCCGCGCTCTTTCAGTGGCCCTCAGCACTGTAACTCCTGAGCTGTCCTGCTCTTCAGATGCAAAACTTGCTGTCCGTGATCACAGCTGTCCCCAGCACTTAAAAAGCAAGGGGGAGGCTCCCGTGATTTTAACACGTTAGCAGAAAATGCCAATGTGAACCAGGGTTTGTTAACTGAACACATAGCTTATTAAACTGGCTTTTTTATAACAAGCAAAAAAAGCCCCTCTTACTGTAAAAAGCTTTCTTTAGGAATGTGCTAGCCTAACCAGAAGTGATGATTGAGCTCTTCTGAAACACACCCTTTAAGCGAGAGGCCTGTGAAATTGGTAGCAAAAGTAGATTAAACTTTAAAACACCTCCTAGTTCTCCTTTCTGTGCTTTGATGGACGTTCCTAGCGCTGAGACTGGTGAAGCTTATTTGTAATGCGGACTTCTATTATTTTTCTGAGCTCAAAGGAAAAAACGAACTGGAACTTAAGTATATTTGAAGCTCAGTTTTGTACTACTCCTGGAGATTTGCATCTAAGCTATTTTTAGATTACTCTTAAAAACAAAGAGAAAAGAGTTGAAAACATAACAGACATGTTGCCTTTGGAAAAGCATTTGTTTCCTTGCCTTATGATATTTATAGACTAACTGGAGCTGATTTTTTTTTTTTTGTGTCCCTAGAAATTCTTCAACTTTCAAATCGTTTGAGGAGAAAGTTGAAAACTTGAAGGTAAGCATTACTAAAATGTCTGAGCTAATGTGGGTCTGTGCATATGAGGAAAACACTTGAGTGGACTCTAGATAGCTGTTTTTTTTTTTTTTTTTTAGTCATAGCTTAGATGATTTCTTTTTAGGTATTGGGGCTTCTGAGTTCAGTAATAGGAGAAAATAAAATAAGCATCCTGAGCCTCTTGGAAGAGAGTGTCCTTAACTAAAAGGACTGTCTAACCTGTGCAAATGGCTAATACAATATACTTAGTTTTATATATTCAGAATAGTCTAGGCTTTTATTTCCAAGCCTGCCTAAGTATTAGTATTCTACACAGGTCTATAGCCTGGGAGGTTTACCTTACATTTCTGACATAAGTATGTAAGTATTTAAATATCCACAAGTAACTTTCAAATCCAAAGGCCCTAAGCACCAGGAACAACCATTCATGGCTTCTCCAGTTAAAAATAGTCACTGAGTGTAATAGGAATGAGATGGGAAGATCGCAGGATCTGAGAACTCAAGATGTGTTACTAAGACTGAAAATTGTTCAGGAGCAATAGAGAAGTTTTAACTCAGTGTTTCGAAGCCTACCTGGCTTGTAAGGCTGCGTGGCCATATCCACTTTTCACTGAGTGTATGTGTCAACCTTTAGGCTCATTACAATTTAGAGCTACTTTGTGTCCCCTAATTGTATCTTGAGGCTAAAGGGAGGCTGTTAGGTTAATTTAAGCTGCTGCTACTGATTCTTCTCCACTTGTCTTTTGTGCTGTTGTGGAGGTAGCCCAGGCTTGAAAGGTGCCCTACTGAAAACACTTAAAATAACTTCTTGATGCAGAGGTGCTGTTTTTATGTAGTTAGCCGTGCTCGGTGTGCCAAATAACTGCAATTTTATGTTGAGACTCTGCCTGTGTTCCAGTCCAAAGTTGGAGGAAGCAAGGCCGCGGGGGGAGACTTTGGAGAGGTTCTGAATTCTGCCGCCAACGCGAGTGCCACAGAAACGCTCGCGGAGCAGACGCAGGAGGAGACCCCCTGAGCTCCCGGCCACCCGCTGCCAGATGCTGCGAGCAGAAACGAAGCACACGCGTAACGTCCTCTGCGCTCCTGCCACCAGATGTGCTTTTATCCAGCACCTACCTGTTTTACCAGATTAATTGATATCCAGCTTGATCGAGGGGTCGAAATATTTTTGAAACTAAAATATATTGTTTGGGGTTTTGTGGGAGAAGGGGAATTTTTATGCCTTTCGAGCGTTTAAAGGACTTTTCCCTAATTTGAAGGCAGCCTTTGAAATATAGCATTGAAAAAGCTCTTTGGAGAAGTTAATTATACTGTACATATACTGTGGATACGTAACTTCAGTCTGTAACCACTGTCCAACTTAATCACTGTCAATCTACTTCTGCCAAACTGAAGCTTGTTACTTCACTTGCTTGTGATTATTTCAGTTAAGTGTAGCCTCCATGGGACATGCAACCAGGAAGATCGCTTCCAGCTCACGAAAGGACTGCTGCTTCAACATGCCCAAGTTATTCACAGCAGCATGACAGAGGCGGAGGAATATACTGGGTAGAGAGCTTGTTCCTTGTATGACAGATGCAGCTAGGGTTAATACACAACACCTGAAATGTACTGATTTCTCTGTGGGTCATCCGACTGGGAAGTTTTTGGCCATTGCAGATGGAAGCAAGATGCCTAATGGTGGTTTATCAGGTCCACTAAGCCCACCCATCTCATGTTTTATATTTGGTCTTGAAGTGTGGAGATACTTATCTGAAAACTTTATTCCATTGTGAGTAGATTCATCTTAAACCACACCTGCTGGTGCCCTTTTTACACTAATGAAGCATGAAATGTAGGCATAAACCTGGCCATGAGGGTGTTTTAGTTTTTCTTTTTTGGGCATCGGTTGCCCTCAAATGCTTATGTTAAGCTGCACAGTAGGCCGTGTAGACTGAGCATCTCAAAGTAGCTCTGCTACATAATATTCTTCTTTTATGTTAAAGGACTGTATCCCCTGTGCACCTCCTCCTGTTTAAGGCCACAGGAATCCATTTTGAGAGGGGCACCAAGCCATACTGCAGCGTAGACATCTTGCAAGATCTGCTCTCCTACCTGTTGCTTTATCCACTATATGTACTCTTAAATTCTTGTATGTTTCTGGCACGTGGTAAGTTGTGATCTGTAAGATCACAACTTTTGGCAAATGTTTTATCGCCATGCTTCAAACTGAGAACAAGTCTTGAAACATTTGTGTGAGATCCATGGAACATCCAACCACCCCAACTGTGGAGGAAAAAAAAAAAAAACAACGAAAAAGTGTTGGCTCCTGATGACGTTGTTAGCATGTTGGATGTAGTGTATATGCTCAACTACACACAAGAAGCTTAATAAAAGCCTGTATGTGAGGAATGCATTGTCTGGGAGAATTATGTAAATAATTTATTTCTCATCAAAATTGTCTTTTGAATTCAGCTGTTCTGGATGAAGGCGGTAGTTCTAGAGACGGGGTTTATACCGCCTGCAAGTTGCTGTTCCAGGCACCAACGGCCCAGGTCACCTTCA